ATAGGGGTGTTGGAGTTAGTCCCCTGTGCTCTAAAGACCCCTGCCTCCCCTCTAGTTATCTGCACTACAAATGCACCATCTTGTCTGACCTGTTCCCTAGGCACCGGGACCACTGGAACCAGATCAACCATCCCCATCTCTATTACCATGTCCCCTGGAATGGATTCCACGTCCCCTGCTACCGGCAATACCATGCCTGGAATAGCCCCGAATACTTCTGGCCCAGGCACATTGACTATTGGAACACAGTCTATGCCCTCGGTCCCAGGCATTGGGACCACCACGGGATCTCTCCGTGACCACCACCCCTGGGACCAGCACCACCTCCCATAAACAGGCTGGTATCCATGGGCACAAACACAGTTAGTGTGAGCGACACCCCAACAAACGTGATCCAATCAAGCGGATACTCACAGCCCTGGGGCATCATCCTCATTTCTCTGGCTGCAGTCATGGTTGGCATTGGAACCTTAGCAGGACTCTGCTTTGGCTTGGTGAGTGTCTAGGGTGGGTTATTAGGGAAGCCTGGGGGGAGGGCAGATCATGAATGAGAGAGGAAATCATATAAACAGTGCTCTTAGGATATCCAGAATGAGGGAATAAGCTGGTGTGCTGGGAAGAAAAGAATCACACCGCATGATACGAGGACTGGAGAGAATCGGTGAGTCTGAGAAAGTGAGAAGTAAAGTAGAAAGGGGGGAAAAAGATGAAGTTGGGGCCAAAGTGAAAGGAGATTGTGTGAACAGGGAATAAGACAAAGAAGGCATTTAAAGACAATCATGTTTCTTAACAAAACAAAATCTGGAATTTAGAATATTTTAGCACTGGAATAAGAATCTCCAGCACGTGAGGAGTCTTTACCCCTTGCTGTATTTACTCATTTCCATTACATATTTTAGCGCTTGCTCTCCAGGGCACATCTCTTCCCTTCTGATGCTTTCACATATGTAGAGGTGAACACTCTTTCCTTGATTCTCCTTGGGGCAGATGATTGGAAATGTCCAACATTTCCCTAAATACTGAGAGAAAACAAAAGGGAAAGAAAAACAAGGAAAGCAAGAAACATGAAAACGTTCAACCATCCAAAGTGCAGGCTTCTGATAGTCTTCATCTGACAAATGTCTGGTGCCGGCAGCACCTGCAGGTCCTTGTTCTGTTTGTGAGAGCTACTCTGACCTCCCATTGCACCTCTGCTCTCTGGTCTTGATCTTTGAATACAAATTTTTCCAGCACTGATTTTACATTTACTTATGTGTTCCCCGTTTTCTTATGATCAGTGGTGTGCTGGCGCTAGGTCATGCAGGCTCAACAAGGGATTGTGCTTCCCTTCCCAATTCCGTGTGTAGTGATGTGACACTGGTAACTTAAAATATGCTGTGGTGGAAATATTTACACCACAGAAATTGGCAAGCATGACAAATAAACACTTTTTGCCTCTGGAAAGCAAGTTATTAAATGTCAAACAACATACCACTGGTAAAAATGGACAAACAAATGAAAAAATTCACTGCAGCCACAAAGGGTAGGCTTAATATGGTTAATTTATCAACGTTCTTTATTTTGGAGTTCTCAGCCTCCCTCCATAGGTAGGCTACAAAATAAAGACCCATCACCTAGGGATGACTTCCTAAATTACTTTATAATTTTATTCATAAGATCAAGAGATTATAATTAAAATGAACACTGAGTGTTTACTAAGTGCTAGGCTCAGGGCTGAATGTTTAAAACGCATCATGTCATTTAGTCTGCTCTACAATCCCATGGGGATATTATATTCATCTTTAAAGTGAGGGAGCTGGAGCCATTTGCCCCAGCACATGCGGTAAGTGGCAGGTCTAGGAATCTGACCCGGGTTCATTTGATTCTGGAGCTCAGGCCTGGACCTCTTTCTGAGGGCTCTTAATTCCACATACCTGTCTTCTCTTCCTTAGCCGACTAACAAAGTGAAAGGCTCTGTCTTTCAGGTGAGTCTCTGCCTTTCACATTGGGATGCGGATTTACCTTTGTCTTGAAAGTCCAATGACACATAACCTTACGATGCTGCAGAGTAAGGCCCCGAGTATTCATATAAAGAGGATGTGCTCATAAGGTAACAGGGAAGCTTGTTTTCTCAGAGAGAAAAAGAGTAAAATAACAAGGAGAGAGGGACGCACAGTAAGGATAGTGGTAAAGAGAAGAGAAAACTGGCAATTTTTATTTTTATTTTATTGCATTGTCTTGGGGGCTGGCCAGTACAGGGATTGAACCCTGGACATTGCTGTTATCAGCACCATGCTCTAACCAACTGAACCAACTGGCCAATCCCTAAAATTGGCAGTTTTGAAAAGTGAAAATCTGAAATTGGTGAAACAGGCATGCACAGTGATAAGGGAGAAGATACTTAATTTTTATAATATTATTATTTGTTTCTTTTAGAGGGATTTTTCCTTCCCCCTGAGAAATAGTGGTACTTACTATCCTCATAAGCACAACCTCGGCCTTGGTCTGGACCTGGGTTTTGGAATGTTCCACAGCCTGGGAAATTCACTTGTTTATGGAGAGGGACTTGGGATTGGATCTGGAGCAGCACATGGCTTTGAACATGGAGTGGGCCCTGGATTGAGCTACAGCCATGGAGGAGGTTACGGAATGAATTATGGTTGGAGTCATGGGCATGGAGGAGGCCATAGCAACAGCTATGAAATGGACCACAGAGGAGGCCGTGGCAGGACAGAACAGCTGTGGCCATAGACTGGATACTGGAAAATACTGTTGGGAAAACAAGCTTGGTGTGGGAGGGGGTCATGGAGGAGAATAGAATGATCATGGAATGATTAAAATGGAGCATAAAAAGGCTTCCAGGAGTGAACCACAGAAAAGGGCATGGCCTAGGTCAAGAGAAAAATCAGCAAAAGGATCACCGAGACCCTGACCAATACTGGAAAAGATCAAGCAGAGACTAGTTCTGAAGGAGATGCTCAGCTTTGCCAGGCTCGAGGATGATGTGAATCCAAAGTTCCCATGAATTCTACCCAAATCTCAGACTCTGTTGTAGGGCATCCTGGCCATCACCCTCAGGACATCTTCCCTCCCACCTCCCACCATCCAAGCCACGGTAAATGTTTCTCATCTCTCTGTTTCTTCAGGATGCTGTAAACGTTACCATGACATCTCTAAGAAACAAACATGCATAATGAATGTATTATCAGTACCACCTGCTTGTTTGTTTTCCTATTTCTGCTTTCAGTTTTTTAAAATTTTGTGTGTGGGTGGGGTGGGGTGGGTGGGAAGGGTTCTGTCTGAGTGCTTACTATGTGCCGAGCACTGTCCCAGGAGTCTTCAAATGCATCATCATTTAATCCTTAAAAAAATCCTGTGAGGAATGTATCTTTATGACCTTGAGGTAGGCAAAGATATTTAAGCAAGACGCAAAATGCACTAATTGTAAGAGAAGAGTTTGATGATTTGTACTCCATTCAAGTCTAGTATTAGAATATACCTTTAAGAGAGTGAAAAGGAAAGGCAAGGACAGGAGGAGAGGCTGCAATACATATGCCTGACAGAAGACTCCTATCCGTAATGTAGGAAGAACTACAAATCAATAAGGAAAAGACAATGCAATTTTAAAAAGGGCAAATAGAACTACCATATGATCCAGCAATCCCACTGCTAGGTATTTACCCATAATTAGGCACTGCTGAGTGCCTAAACTGCTAACAGCAGAGACCATAATTACAATAATTCATTGTATGTTCTTAAATGGTTAGAAGAGCTCAAATGCTCTCATCACAAAGAAATAATAAATTTTTGCAGTGATGGATATACTAGTTACCCTGATCTGATCATCACACATTGTATATACGTATTGAAATATAACTCTGTACCCATAAACATTGTGTGTCAATTAAAATAAATTAATTAATTAAATTGGCAAAAGATTTAATAAGTAAATAAAAGAGGATATCAAAATGATAAGTGAGCATTTGAAAGGTGTCCAATATCATTGCTTATCAGAGAAATTGAAATTAAAACTGCACTGAGATACCACTGCACACACACTATAATGACTAGAATTTAAATAACTGATAAAACCAAGTATTGGAAAGGATGTTGAACAACTGGAACTCTCATACATTGTTAATGGGAGTGTAAATTGATGCAATTATTTTGGGAAAATGCTTGGTAACATTAAAATTAAGTGCACATGTCCCATATGATCCAGCAATCCCACTCCTGAGTATATATATTCAACAGTAATGAATGCCATGTCCACCAAAAGACACGTATGCTAGAAGCTCTGTTCATAAGAGTGCCACGCTGGAAATTACCCCTAAAGTCTACTAATATTAAGAATCGGTAAGTAGTACTCGTAAAACTAAGGTCAAAGCTTCAAATCCCCTTACCAGCCAACTGCCAAAAAAAAAAAAAAAAAAAAAAAAAAAAAAAAAAAAAAAAAAAAGATGAAACAAAAAGAATGGGTAAGTAAATCGACATATTCATATAATGGAATGCTATCCAATAGTGAAAAATGAATAAACTACTGAATCATGCAATAACATTAACAAATCTCATAGATAATGCTGAGTAAATGAAAACAAAAGAGTGCCTACTGTATAATCTCATTCCCGTGAAGTTCAAGAACATGTGGAATTAATCTGTTGTGAAAAAGTTCAAAGTTGTGGATGTCTTTAGGGAAAACACTACCTGGGAGAAGGCGTGAGGGAGCCTTCTGGAAGGAGTGGTGAGAAAGTAAAGTTCTCTGTTTTGTCTGGCGCTGACTATATGGGTGTATACGTACGTAAAACTTCATTGAAATGTTCACATAGCTGTGTGTACTTTATCGTATGTAAGTTATACCTCAATTTAAAAGGTAAAATATTGTATCTTCTGAGAACTTTTTCTTGCAGAATTATGATTTCCTAGGTCAGAGGATGTGGTTGGGGCATGTGATGATAAATACAACATTCAGCAAGCCCAATGACAGTGGTACTGGTGGAAGTATTGCGTGCAAGGAAAGCCAGTATCTATTTCAGTGAGGACAAATCATCTCTTCCTCCAGATTAGAAGAGGTCCAATGTAATCCATCTGTCATTCTCTCTGATGAAGGGTGCCATGTGGTGAGGTCAACACTGGTCTCTGCTGTTAACAGGTTAGGCATTCAGCAGTGAGAGTATTTGTCCAGATCAGGAGGGGGGAAGACTTTCTTACTGAGCCATGCATACCCTCCATCCCTGCCGCCATCTCTGCTTTATCCATAAGCCCATTGAGCAAGCACTAGAGCAGTTGGAAAATGAGGTTGACTTACATCCACAGAATGGGTCACCTTGTCAACCCAATAACTGAAGACCACCTCTGCAATGAATGCCCATTGGTGAATGTTCACATGGGACACAAATACTCTCACTGTCTGTGCCCTTCCTGAAAGACTCATCCACATTCCTCTTTCCCAGATTTTCTTGTCATCAATTCACCAGTCCCAGTCTTTCTACATCCTGACTTATCCAGCCTAACTGCTAGCCACTGCCTACTAATCAGGGTAAACTGTAACTCTGGCCATCTCTTTGTCCAGGCAAAGTGAAAAAACAGATGCATTGTTCAAAGTTCTGCTCACAGGAAGGATTTCTCTTCCCCACTGTCCTTCAGGGTTACCCTGAGAGGAGCTGGAGTGCTACGGCAGCCCACTTTCTGGTGGTGCTATTATATCATGCAGAACCATCTGCAAACCATATGAAATCAAATCTTCCTTTTCTTGGTCATAGGAAACTCTCCATGTGACTGTGGTTATGGAGAGAGTGGTTGGAGTAGATGCCATTGAAGTTTGAGCCACCTGCTCATGCCTCTTATGCCTTGAGGACCCAAAGCTGGAGCCCAAATTTATATACACCACTCTCACTCAATGGGACTAGTACTGTCAAGTGTGCCCAGTCTTGTAGTTTGGTGGTGAAGACAGTTCACAAAGGGCAGCTCACATTTCACGAACTCTTACATAGCGAGGATCCAATATCAAGTTGAATGCTAATTATTCAAAAGAGGAAGGCATGTCTTTGCTCCAAAGCTTTGGGGGGTCTGTGCTGTGCTTCTTCTGTTAGGGCTACCCAGCCTCCACTACAGCATCCTAATTTATCGAGATGTTTTGAGCCACGTTTGATCTATTCAACAATTAGTCTCAAATGGCCTCATGACTTTGCTTTAGTTCCCACTTAAAAGTGGGGAATATCCACAGATGGTGCCTAGAGATGAACTTGGGGCAAGACTCTATTTATTTTCTAACCTCCATAAGCCCCACTCTGACTTGTAGGTCACAGTGGTGTTTTAGATATTCAGATATTAGCGTTAGCCCAGCCAGGGTCTGGTAATATCTTAAAGATTTGGGCATCTCCCTTCTCCCGTTGCACTGTCAAGATGATGAATGGCTGAGGTCCCTTTTGAAAGCTAGGAGGATGATTCATGGCACGTACTTGTGGTAGTGTTGTTGGTCTTTCTGCCTTCCCTTCATTTCTAGGTCTTTGAACAGGGCCAGGCCTGGGAATTAAGTGAGAGTCTGAGACTCTCCACTCTGGTAACTCAAATCAGCTCTCTTTTTAACCAACAGATGAAGTAAGATTTTAGTAGGCTATGTATTCATTCCTCGTAACAACAAAATTAGTTAGCAGTGGCCAAGGACCCCTGATTACGGCTCTGGCTGTGCTGCCCACATTGGTAACCATGCCCACCTTGTCTCTGGAGGAAAAGCCCTACTACCTGGCCATTGTCTCCTTAGGATTCTGCCATGCCCACTGAAATCAGAGAGTCCATTTCAAAGGTCAGATCGTCCACTATTGATTGTATCTGGCAAAGAGCTCCTACAGAGCTTTTGGGGGATGTCGGTGCTCTCTTCTCTAACACCTTGATAAAGAAAGTATCATTTAAACCATCTGGGAGGACATAATGAAGGAGTGGGTGAGTGAGTTGCACATGTTAAATCCATTCCAACATGACTCTCTTCCTAAGTCTTTGGACTTTTTCTTCTAACTATACCAATGAAATACCGGGATCTCAAGTTCATTTAATGTAGGTCACCAGTGAGTCCTATTTTAGTCAACCAAGAAAACTGTTCAGATGACTCCTAGCTACTTGAGCTAATATATTGAATCTATGTGAAAAGTTCACCCATGTATTCATTTTCTATTGGTGCATAACAACTTAAAACAATGCCCACTTATCAGCTCGCAGTTCTGTGAGTCAGAAGCCTGGGCAAGGCCTGACTGGGTCCTTTGCTCAGGCCTCACAAGGCTAAAATCAAGGTGTTGGCTGTGCTGCGTCCTCATCTGGAGCTTGGTGTCCTTTTTCAAGCTCATGTGGTTATGGCAAAATTCAGTTCCTGTGCTTGTAGAATTGAGGTCTCTGTTTCCTTGCTGGATATCAGCTGGAATTGTTCTCAGCTCCTAGATCTGACCCTATTTATAATAAGGAGCTGGAGAAAGAGGCTTCGTCACACGGGGGAGGAGAGACTACTTCTGCCGGTAAGAAAATCTCGGTGGGATTTGGAGGTACGAGTTTCTTAGACTCATCTAAATCTACCCAAGTGTCTCCACCCCAATTCTGGGCTTCCATTTAACAAATACCCTAAAGGTCCCATAAGAGACTGACAAGGATATAAATGCAAGCTGAATATAATTCTTCAATCTGTGGAATCAAACCTTGGGTCTGTTTTTTTCGTATATAGTCCCCATGGCTTTAGGAGATAAGCATGTCTTTTGGAGTACTCAGAG